GGAGAATTTTGCAGAAAGCAGAGTCATAGGGAGTCAGCTTTGATGGTCAGGGCATGTAACTCACTGACCAACTTCTTGATAGGCAACTCCTGGGAGTCTTTCCTTTTCACAGAACTGGGGCTGCTCTTGAGTAAAAGAGGTGAGTCACAAATGATGCTAATAAGCAACTAAAATAACTCCTTACTGAACAGAAAAAAATATTATTTTCAAAGGGGAAGTAGGGATATGACTCTGGGTAGTTAGCAGTCTATTGCTGACTTTGTCATCACTACAGACAGAAAGACTAGCTCATGTGTCAGACAAGTTAAAAAGTGAAAGTATCTACTTCATATGGGAGCTTTCTCCCCAAGCATTTCAAGAAAGAAATAAGGCCAACCTCCATAATGGTACCGGTTATGCAATAATAATATTTCTACATAGTCCCATAAATGTCTCCACATTGACCCATTCTTTAATGGAAATAGCCGAAGAAATAGAAGTATCAAGACTGAGTACATCAAAGGCATCATTGGAAAAGCCCCTACACGGAGAAATGTGTGGGCCTGAGTTCTTCCATTCTGGAAGGGTAAAAGCCTGAGCTGATGATGCTGGGATAAGACACTGAAATCTTTAGAGAAGCGAAACAAGATCACTAAATATCCTTTCCCTTAGAAGTAATGCTAACTTTGTGGTTTTTGTTTGAAAGGCCAAAGAGGTGTTTTGCATTTTTTAGTAATAAAAAGAAAAAATCATGTTCATTTGTCTCTAACCCATGTCTTCTCTTCTAAAAAAAATCATATGTCTCTAATCTGGCTTTCCTTCATTATTTTCCACCTGAGGAACTGTAATTGTTTAAATTTTACTAAGATGTTTTATCTTCTCCCAATATTGCCTAATGCCTGGATAAACAGCACCATTTCTCTGTTCTTTGCAGGGGCACTTAAGGGTTCCTTAGAGTGGCAGTCACCAACCAGTGGTCCGTGGACCACTGGGTGCTCATGAGGTCTGAAAGGTTGGCAACCACTGCCTCAGAGGGCCTAACCTTGCTTGCCTCCCCACCCTCCTAATCCTAAAGCAGGGGTGGGGAACATGTGGCCTGAGGGTCGTATAAGGCCTGTGAAATTATTTGGTCTGGTCCTGCCATAGCATTAAGGGAAAGTTAATTAAATTTTTGACCAATATAGCAGGCTAATTTTTAAGTTGATAATTTTATATGGCCCTCAAATATACTTATCTATATATCTATATCCCTATATATCTATAATATATCTATATCTATCTATACCGATCTATATCTATATATCTATATCTATATCTATATCTATATCTATATCTATATCTATATCTATATCTATATCTATATCTATATCTATATAAGCCTAAGTGATAGTTATGACCAAACGACCGGAATGACTGGTTGACCAAATGCTATAACACGCACTGACCATCAGGGGGCAGATGCACAACATAGGAGCTGCCCCCTGGTGGTCAGTGCACTCCCACAGCCAACCTCCCACAGCTAGCCAACCTCCCCCAGCCTCTTCCCCCGGCTGGCAGTCCTCCCATGTTCCCTCCCCGCATCTGGCAGGCCCTGACCAGCAGGCACCATCTGGCAGGCCCCATCCAGCAGCAGGCAGGCCGCATCTGGCCTGGCCCCAATAGGCCCTAATCACCAGCCAGGCCTAGGGACCCCACCGGTGCATGATTTTCATGCACTGGGCCTCTAGTGATGTTACAAACATCCAAATGGCCCTTGGCAGAAAAAGTTCCCCACCCCTAAAGTTACATGGTCACATGGTCAAAACCTAGTTTAAGTCTGTCCCTTATTTAAAATTCTTTCCATCTACTTCTCTTGAGACCTCAATGGCCTTTCACTCAGGATTACACTTGTCTATGTAAGTGTCTGCCCTCAGATTCTTTCAGAAAGAAAACAAATGGTAAGAGAGTGGACTTTGGAGTCAGAATGTTCTAGTTTCAAATCCTCATCCTACCCCTTCCTGCAGTAAGGGCTAAATGACCCAGAAGGGCTAACTTCTCTTCAGCTCCAGTTTTCTAATTTGCAAAACAGAAAACCTCACTCACCAGGTTCACTGTAAGGTTCAACTAGACTGCTGCTGGCACAACGAGCTTTTTCTCTCCCTTCTGTGGGCACTGTAAGTGCTAGATAAAGACTAGACATGCAGCCCTAACCGGCTTGGGTCAGTGGATAGAACATCAGCCTGCGGACTCAAGGGTCCCAGGTTCAATTTCGGTCAAGGGCATGTACCTTGGTTGCGGGCACATCCCCAGTAGGGAGTGTACAGGAGGCAGCTGATCGATGATTCTCTCTGATTAATGTTTCTATTTCTCTATCCTTCTCCCTTCCTCTCTATAAAAAAATCAGTAAAAAAAAAAAAATACACACACACACACACACACACACACACATATACCCACCATATTTTCCGGTGTATAAGACGACCCCCTAATTTTACAGTTAAAACATAGGTTTAGGCCTATATTCGCTGTATAAGACTACCCCTCACTTCCGAGGCAACACCAGTTCTTTTTTTAATAGACCGCCTCTCTGACTGGCCAATCTGAGCAGGCTTTTTACTAGAACACAGTAGTTGTCTTATACGCCGGAATATACGGGGCGTGTGTGTGTGTGTGTGTGTGTGTGTGTGTATGTGGGTGTGTGTGTATATATATATATATATATATATATATATATATATACAATATATATACACAATATATATACACAATATATATACACAATATATACATATATATATATATATATATATATATATATATATTTTTTTTTTTTTTTTTTAAAGACTAGACATGCAATAAGTATGGTAGTAGAAATGGATGAGTTAGCTCCAGCCAATGTGGCTCAGTTGGGTGAGTGTCATCTCATGCGCCGAAGGGTTGCCAGTTACATTCCTGGTCAGAGCACATGCCCACATTGCAGGCTCAGTCCCCAGTAGAGGGCTAGGTGCATGCAGGAGGCAGCCAACTGATATGCTCCCACATCAATGTTTCTCTATCTCTCTCACTCTCCCTTTCTCTCTCTTACAAAAATCAATTTTTAAAAAATGCTTTTTAAAAAATGGAGGGCTTACTTTTCTCTTTGACAAAGGAGAGAACTGAATCATCATGGATTCTCCCCAGTTGAAATTAGAAGTCTAGACCTATCCCATTCTTCATACAGTACATTATACTGCATATCCTCTTCAGTCTACCAACTAAAAAAATACTGACTTTATTTCAAAATGATTATGCTACACTCAGTGTCCCAGGAACTTTAGAGGACAAATGAAAATCTAGTAGAGGTGAAAACATAAAACTGGAAAATACGGATCAGTTTACATAAGATATTATACATGGAAAGTCTATTATAAAACTAGCATCTGTACTTTTGAATGCAAACTTTTCTGTATTTGTCACAGTTGTTTGTAATAGTTCACTCATTTTTTCATAAAGATGTTCCAGGAATGATCATGAATATCCCTCTTAACAACTTCTGTTACTGAATTCTGGCTGCTGCTTGTAATAAGCATCATCTTGTAATAAATGAGCCCAGATACTCGAGCTCCAAGGACTGCTCTCACTCCACAAAGCACACACACAAACACACCCACCCCACAGCCCACTTAGGTTACTCCTAGGTTACTTACTACCATGCCTTCCTTACCCTAGCCACACTGAATGGACCAGTATTGTACAGGGGATGCTGGCCAGATCCTAGTATCTTTCTCCTAAAGAAAGTGCAATGGCATGCAAAAATCCCAGTCAGTAATCTTCCTTCAGACAGACAAACTTGGGATCTCTATTGTTATGCTTTTTTTTTTTCTGTCTCATATTGAAAGAAATATAAGCAGTGTGTGTGTGTGTGTGTGTGTGTATAAAAGAGAGAGGAAGAGAGAGAGGGAGGGGAAAAAAGGAGGGAGGGAGAGAGAAAGGGAGGGAGGGAAGGATAGAGGGAGGGAGGGAGGAAGGAGGGGAGAAAGAGAGAGAAGAAAGGTACATGGTGGGGGAGGGAGGATTTAATAGCTCAGGTGGTCCCTGAAAAACCAAGAGGAAGAAAAGCATTCGCAAGTATGGCAACATTGCTACTCTTTTTTAAAAATATATATATATTTTATTGATTTTTTTACAGAGAGAAAGGGAGAGAGAGAATTAAAAACATTGATAAGAGAGAAACATCAATCAGCTACCTCCAGCACACCCCCTACTGGGGATGTGCCCACAACCAAGGTACATGCCCTTGACCGGAATCGAACCTGGGACCCTTCAGTCCGCAGGCCGATGCTCTATCCATTGAGCCAAACCTGCTAGGGCAACATTGCAACTCTTCTTATATTCCCTTGGTGCCCAGCAAAAATAAATTTGCCACGCACATGCACACATACATCAGTACCCTTGGATATGTTTTGAATATTTATTTATTGAACACTGTATGTTTTTTAAAAGTACAGCAGATAATAGATTTAAACAGATACAAAAAACATGTTCAAATTAAAACAGCAGAAAACAGTATATCAAGATCAATGACCATAATACTATCCTAATCTTAGTATTTCTCTAGCTTATTATGTAAGAAGTAATCTATCGTGTTATATGCATTAGCTCAGGCATTGTGTAGATAAAAAGGCAAAACCATCCTGAAACAGGAAACCAATATTCTTCCTGTCTAATCAACAAATCTAAACATTTATTCTTTTCAACTATTTGCTCCAGCTCTCGTCCACCACAACAGGGTGAGCCACATGTTCAGCGTAGTTTTACAACAAAGAGAACATTTTCATGAGCTACTTTTGTCTCTCCACCCCCTTAATGAAAGAGAAGGAAAAACTGTTTCATACAGAAGGCGTGAGGCATATACATTGGAACTGCCACAGAAGTGTGGGCTACTGTAACCAAGAGGGATTTCACCTACATCCATTCAGTCAGCTCACGGGGGTTTAAAGAAATTCCAAAGAGTCATCAGAAGAGGAAAAATAAAGGTAATGCTTTTTGCCACACAGGTAAAGCCTTTGAAAATATGTGTAATATGTAAAATATTTTGACACCCCCATGATATTTTTCCAGAATTAAGAGTATAAATTGCTCCTTTTGTTCAAGAGCTCTCTATCAGCTCTCTAACCACTACTGGCATCAACCTCACCTCCTGCCACAATGTACAAGATGCACTTCTTGATTTGTATTGCATTAACTCTAGCATTCATCGCAGACGGTGCACCTACCTCAAGCTCCAGGCAGGAAACACAGCAGCAGCTGGAGCACCTGATACTGGATCTACAGCGGCTTCTGAATGGTGTCAGGGTATGTCTATCTCTTGCTTGCTAAAATGACTCCCTTTAACTTTTCTGCCTGGAGTACACTTTGTAATAATAGTCTGTTTTGTTTTCTCAGAATGACAAGAACTTCAATCTCCCCATAATGCTCCGGTTTGAGTTGTACATGCCCAGGAATGTAAGTACAACTTTCTAAGTTCATTTTGTGTTTTATTAAGATGCAAAGTAAAGTGGAAATTTGCACACTGATTATATTAATGGCATCTCACCTGAGAAAAAGTATTAGTAACGTCAATATTTTTAAATATATACGTCCAGGTTTGATAATGGGGCTTTTGTAAAATGGCTTTGCCTATATATTTTTTAGATGTCCTTGTTTGTATCTGGAGGAAAAGGGGTTGGGAAGAAAATAATAATAATATTCTCATTTCATTGTGGGACAGTTTTTAAAACAAATTATGTGAATTTACTGCTTCATTTGAAAATGTAAAACTCTATAGATATCTATTATGTACTTTTATCATGAAAATTACCAAAACTAACATCAGAGCAGCCCATTTTAAAATAAATCCTGGGTCCTAGGACAGTGCTCAGCAAACTCATTAGTCAACAGAGCCAAATATCAACAGTACAACGATTGAAATTTCTTTTGAGAGCCAAATTTTTTAAACTTAAACTTCTTCTTATGCTACTTCTTCAAAATAGACTCACCCAGGCTGTGGCATTTTGTGGAAAAGCCACAATCAAGATACCAAAGAGCCGCATGTGGCTCAGGAGCCACAGTTTGCCGACCATGGTCCTAGGAGAAATCTCTGAGTCTGCCTTTGAGAGGCAATATAGCATTAATCCATAGCATAAACCTGAGGGCCAGATCTGAACTGAAATCTCAGCTCTAGCATGTCCTAGCTTTTGTGAATTTGGGCATGTACAAGCTCTCTTTGTGACTGTTTCTTGTCTACATCTGTGAATAACTGTACATACTTCATATAGTTCTGTGAGGATGAATGCATAAATGTAAAGGACTCCCTACATGCATCTGGCATATAGTGAACACCATACAAGCATTTGCTATTATTAGTTCTAAAGAATAAAGGCAAAATTCTCCCTGGGGAGCATAAAGTACAATTGTGGACTTACACATCTTTTATGCCAATAGGCCTACAGACTTACACTAGAAGATTCATTTTCCAAATTTAAAGCTCCATTTGGTTGTTTTGGGATCCAGGTAGTTAAATAAGCATAGATCATCCAGGCCCCTATTGCTAAGAGAGGCTGCATACAGCTATGTGGTTCAACAGAGAACAGGCAAAACCAGTGCTAGGAATCCAAGCCAGGAAGGGGGGGTGGGGGGAGGAGATGGGACTTAAAGGATCATAGATGCAATTCCATTGATCTGCCTCTTATTTACTTAAGTTATGATTCAAGCTACTCTTTTAAAAGATGAAAAGGAAATAATTTAGTGATTTCCTCCAACTGAATCAGAAATACATACCTCTTACCTCCAGCAACTTAAAGATTCTAGACTTTTCTAAGGGGACTAACTCCAAGTTGCCCATGCCGAAAACTCCAGCCTTGAACTTGTAGAACCTGCAGTAGCAAGTTGAGAGGCCAGCAGATGAAATGTCGTAAAACCTGTATGGTGCAGTGCTACCTCTCCCTCTGAAGATTGCTAGAAAGATAACATGAGATGTGTGCATAGTTTAGAGGGTGGTAGATTCTTTGAAATCTAACAGTTTCTAAATGACGACTCAAGATCTATTTGAAACCAAAGTGATGTGATAAACTCCATTCACTTGTTCATTTTACAACCATTCCAATCTTTCTAAAAGATTTCAGTAAATGATAAAAACATTTAATTCTAAAGATTCTGGGTTAATGCTAAAAAGATAAAACTGAAACTTAATCCTGGCTCCTCCTGGCCATGTGTCCTTGGAAGAACACAAAATCTGAGATTTACTTTCCTTATTTGTAACATGAAGATAACACTGCATTGCCTATCTCAAAGTGTGGCTGTGAGATTTAAATGGACTTATTTAGGAGAAAATACTTTGAAATTACAAGGTACCATAGAAGTGTGAAATATTATCATTATGTGTGTATGTCTAAATCAGAAGGCCCATTCAAAAATACTTCAAATATTGCAATGTTTTATTTGGTTGGTACAAATCATTTTTAAAATGCTTAATGTCCTTATTATAGAAAAGTAAACAATTAAGATGCAGTTATATGTGACTTGCTATTTTGAAAGCCAGTCTTATACACAGTTACAATGGCTAATGTATAAAATGTTGGACTGTGATCGATGGCATCCAAGAGCTCCTTCTGTCCTAACATTTCATGATTCTCACCTCCTAAACCATGAAATACTAGAATCATAGACTGTGACCCATATTTCCGCATTCCTACTCTAGTCTTAATAATTCAGCTTGCAATTAGATGCAGAAATGTTTCTTCTTTGCAAAACCAAATTAAGCTGAAATTAATGATTATTTGTTAACTAACAATTTCTAATCGTGGGTAGCTGACCTCTAGTTTTTCCAGTCTTATGTAAACTCTATTGGTCTAGCTTGACAGTAATGCTGAGAACAGAGAGAGTGGTAGAAAGTATGTCCTGCTACTCTTAATAAGTTTGAGGGTATGTTGACTGACTTTTGAGTCAAGGTAAACTAACCTAATAATTATTTTTATTATTCCAGGTCACAGAATTAAAACATCTGCAGTGTCTAGTCAAAGAATGTGAAGATCTAAAGGAAGTGCTAAAGTTAGATCAAAGTAACAGCTTGAGCAATATCACGGAATTAATGAGCAATGTCATTGTACTCGCTCAGAAACTGAAGGTAAGGGAATACTTCACTTGCTCACCTGGGAAGAAAATAGTTGGAGGGGAGGGGCATTTGAGTAGTATAGCATTTTTGGTGTTTGTGAAGTGCTCATACATTTTAAGTCCATTGTGAGCACGAATCATTTGTGTGTTAGGTGATACAATGTAGAGCTGGGAAGAATAAGGTATAAGGGGCCAAAACCGGTTTGGCTCAGTGGTAGAGCGTCGATCTGCGGACTGAAAGGTCCCAGGTTCGATTCCGGTTAAGGGTATGTACAATGGTTGTGGGCACATCCCTGGTAGGGGGTGTGCAAGAGGCAGCTGGTCGATATTTCTCTCTCATCGACGTTTCTAGCTCTCTATCCCTCTCTCCTCCTCCCTGAAAAAAATCAATAAAATATATTAAAAAAAAAAAAAAAAAAAAAGGTATAAGGGTAAGAGCCAGAAGGTTTCCACCCACCATCCACACAGGGACAAGCCCCTGCCCTGCAGTCACCCCTCACATTAACACAATACTGAGAATAGGAGAAAAAACTGAACTGAATGTCGCAGAAAGCACAGTTTTCATTATGTATTTTTTTAATTCCTTCAGGTCATTTTCCAGATTTACCAACACTGATTATCTAAAAGGCCTTTTAAAAGGGGTTTCCCTACCACTGGTAGAAGGACTAAGAGATTGGTTTAAAAATCAGCAACCATTAAAATGGCCAATGGATTAGACAATTAACTCGTTATTAAGAGGCAATACTTTCAAAACCTTACATATTTTTAAACGCAGAGGAAGCATGAAATATATAAGGGACTCAGGTGATGTAAGAGAGATTCATGTCTCTTTTTTTAATCCAATCTGCCAAAGTACAAAATTCATGAGTTAATAGGTTTCCTAAATAAACAGTATAATTTTAATGATAGTATAACCAGGGTTCTAAAAATATTAACTCTTAATTGTTTCTGAATAGAAGTCATTTTATTAGTAGACTAGTACTTTCATTTAATTCTTTAAAAATACATTGAGAGCAATATCATCTAGACATTGATAGACTGTTTCTCATCTATGTTAAAAGGTATGCTCTAATTTTTTTTTACCAGTATCAGAAAACTGACTAAATTCTTGATGCAAAATTAAGAGAAAATTATGTGAAAATCAGAGACTCCGAGTTTCAAAAGCCTGATATTTTAAAAAATCTCACCCTCTAAGAGGCTATAATATTTAATTGTATGTAAAAAAGTATGTAACAGTGCAACAGTTTATTTAAAGGGCATAGATACTTTATCTCACTTGGTTATGTTCCCAGGATAGGTATGACTTCAAAATTAAAAAGCCCTCTTTTATCTTACTATATATCAGAATATTTTCCTACTTTGTCAGCTAAAGGCAAAGTTGAAATAGCTCCTATTGGCAGAGGAAGTTAATTTCCAAAAAGTCAGTTCACAAAACAAAATTTCCAATGTTTATGCTTTCAAAAGTTGGTCCTTTACTGAGAGTAGTTGTGTGTGTGTGTGGGGGGGGGGGGGGGAGGCGTGGTAATCGCTATTTATGAAACTTTTTCACACAAATTACCCCCAAAGACATTGAAATTGGGACTCAAACGTCTTTGTTTTGTTTTGTTTTGTTATTATATGTTTATTTCTAGTCAGCAGTTGCAAGAATTTTCAAAGAAAAGAAATGGGGGGAAAATAGTTATAGAGATAAAGAACCATTGAACAGACTGTCAAACTGTAGCAGGAAGGCAAGGGGGGGCGGGCTTTAAGAAATCAACCAAAGGACTTGTATGCATGCATATAAACATAACCAATGGATACAAGACATGGGGGGAAGGGGGCAGGGAGAGGGGGCAGGTGAAGGTATATGTGGGGGGTAGGGGAAGCTGGGAGGAGGTCAAGGGTGGGGGGGAGGAGACATATGTACTACTATTTGTAATGCTCCAAACAATTAAAAAAACAACAACTCTAAAAACAAAAAACAAAAAAACAAATTACCCCCAAACAAAAACTTGTCCTGACTTATTCTTGACTGGCTCTATCTCACTAGGGGTAAAATATGTAGAGATTCATTCAAATAGAAAAACAGGAGACTTGAAGTTTAAAAAAGAAAGTATAATGTGTATGTCACTGGTACTGCACACATGTAACCTATATAGATTTAAACCCAGAGGAAAGGAGGGTTAAAAACTTGATTTTGCATACATTTAATGAAATATTTGTTTAGACCTGATTTCATTTAAAATGCTTACTTGGCCCTACATGGTTTGGCTCAGTAGACAGAGAGTCATCCATGAACTGAAGGGTCCCTAGTTTGATTCCAGGCAAGGGCATGTACCTCAGTTGCAAGCTTGATCCTGTGCAGAAGGCAACCAATTGATGTGACTCTCTGTTTCTTTTCCTCCCATTCTCTCTAAAAATCAATGGAAAAATATCCTCAGGTGAGGATTAACAACAACAAAAAATGCTTACCTGGTGGGTGTGGCTCCATGCTTAGAGCATCAGCCTGAGAACCAAAGGGTCATGGGTTGATTTGGTCCAGAGCATGTATCTCCGTTGCAGGTTCATTCCCTGTCCCCAGCTGGCATATGTGTGGGAGGCAACTAATAGTTATCTCTCACATCAATGTTTCTCTCTCTCTCACTCCCTCTCTCTTCTCCCACCCATCTCCCTTCTACTTGCTTTAAAAATCAATGCAAAAAATATCCTCTAGTAAGGACTAACAACAACAACAAAAATGCTTATTGGTATGTAATTCAAGGGGGGAAATCTTGTGTTCCTTAAGATTGACAGGATTAACAACCTCAGCTTGTGTGTTACTAACACTTGGTGTCATACAGTATAATTTCAGCACACCAATTTAATCATTTCAAGAAAATGAGATTAATATGTTTAATCTCCTTAAATATAAAGGCCATAAACTTGTAGTACTTCAATTGAGAATAATTATATCTAAGGTAAACCACCCTGAACTAAAAAAATAATTATAATTTTTGTGTTTTAGGGACCTGAAACGGGACTCAACTGTGAGGATGATGATGAGGCGGTGAACATCGTAGACTTCCTGAACAAGTGGATTACCTTTTGTCAAAGAATCTTCTCAACACTGACTTAAGTGCTTCCCACTTAAAATGTTATCAGGCTTTCTATTTATTTAAATATTTAAAATTTATATTTATTTTTTGATGTATGGTTTGCTACCTTTTGTAATTATTATTCTTCGTTTTCAGATAATAAATATGGATCTTTTAAGATTCTTTATGTAAGCCCTAAGGGCTCTAAAATATACATAAATTATTTAACTCAAAGTATTTATTTTTATATTGAATTATTAAATATAATGTATACGTGGTTCAATTCATAAAATTATTTAATAAAGGTGATGAATAATAACAAGAACAGAGTAATCACTAAAATATTTCCAAATTACTTCTCTGACCTCAAAAGACAGCTAAGATCCCTTCCCCTGGAAGGTATGTGGAATAAGAAAATGGGCTTCTCAAAGCTCTTGCTTTTTCCTACCATAAGCTGATCAGTTCCTTAGTTCTAGTCTGAGAAAACCTCATCAAATTATATGATTTTATATCTCCACAAACAAGATGCTAAACATAAACATTCTTGAACCTCTTCAGATAATTGAAGTGTCTCTCCATCCATTTCCCAACATCTTACACATTGTCCTCTGCCCTCAGGAGTCTCCCGACCTGCTGGCTTTCCACTGGGTCCTGCCACTGGGGAACCCTGGTGGGAAGTGGGAGGGATAGAAAAGATTCCCGATTTTCCCCATGGAGTGGTTGTGCCTTTCAGCCAAGGTGGCTCTCTCAAGATTTTTTCCCTCTGGGTTCTGCTAACTTTTCTTTCCACTCCTCCTTTTAAGCCAGGCGTGCTGCACTTCTACTCTTACCAGCTCCAGGTACTGTACTCTCCCTCATAGTTTCCCTGAACCCTACTTAGTAAATCATCTCTTTATGAGATCCTCCTTGAATTATTATGAGTATGCTGTTTCCTGACGCAGACACAGTAATTGTACCGGAAATAGCACCATGAAATAAACTCTCAAATAGGCTCCTGGGTCAGGATTGTTCATATAGTCAAGGACCACAAAGGTAATATGACATGAAAAATCTATGGAATGCAATAGCATCCTAATTATAATCAATAGTAGCATAGAATGAAATGCAGGAGAGCAAGGTGTTGTGAGATCCAAGGCCATGACATTTGTTACAGCAACAATAGTTACGAAAATTACAATTGTTGCCTAGATTCTTAAAATTAAAGTTATGAATATACACTTAAAAACATCCATGGAAGTCCTCATTGGCAGTTTTTAAATATTCCATTTCTAGAGCAACGTGCTCTTTCCAGCTCCTCCACATCTGCCTTGGGTAAGGTGATCAGACATCCGCTTTTGATGGGACAGTCCCGATTTTTAACAATTTGTCCCTTGTCCCGCGGCGTTTTAAAAAAAGTCCCGATGTTTGGACGTCTGGTCACCTTAGCCTTGGGCCACTCACCAGCTGTCAAAAATGGTAAAGGAAACCACTTACTATGATATTTTGGAAGTCAAACCCAATGTCACCCAGGAAGAACTGAAAAAGATTTACAGCCAGACTAGCATAGCTCAGTGATTGAGAGTTGACCTATGAATCAGGTGGTCAGTTTGATTCCCACTCAGGGCACATGCCTGGGTTGTGGGCTTGATCCCCCGTGTGGAAGGTGCAGGAGGCAGCCAATCAATGCTTCTCTTAAATCAGTTTCTTTCTCTCTCTTTTCCTGTCCCTTTCTCTCTGAAATAATGAAAAATATATCTTAAAAGAAAAGAAAAAGACTTACAGTAGCTGGCCTTGAAGATAAGAATCCAAATGGAGAGAAGTTTAAACAGATTTCTGAAGCTTATGAAGTGCTCTGATGCAAAGGAATCATATGACAAAAGAGGAGAACAAGCAATTAAAGGAAAGTGGAGCAGGTGCTGGTTTTGGATCTCCCATAGACATCTTTGATATGTTTTTTGGAGGAGGAAAGTAGAGAGAGAAAGGAGAGGTAAAAAATGTTGTCATCAGCTCTCAGTAAACTTAGATGATTCATATAATGGTGCAACAAGAAAACTAGCTCTGCAAAAGGATGTGATCTGTGACAAATGTGAAGGCTGAGGTGGTAAGAAAGGAACAGTAGAGTGATATCTTAATTGCTGAGGTGCTGGAATGAAAATATGAAATCACCAAATAGAACCTGGAATGGTTCAGCAAATTCAGTCTGGGACCATGGAGTACCAGGGCCATGGGGAATGGATCAGTCCTAAAGATGGATGTAAAAGCTGCAACGGAAGGAAGATAGTTCGAGAGAAGATTGTAGAAGTACATATTGATAAAGGCATGAAAGGTGGTCAGAAGATAACATTTTTTAAATATATTTTATTGATTTTTTACAGAGAGGAAGAGAGAGGGATAGTTAGAAACATTGATGAAAGAGAATCATGGGTCAGCTGCCTTTTGCACACCCCCTACTGGGGATATGCCCGCAACTAAGGTACATGCCCTTGACCAGAATCGAACCTGGGACCTTTCAGTCCGCAGGCAGACGCTCTATCCACTGAGCCAAGCCGGTTTTGGCCAGAAGATAACATTTCATGGTGAAGAAGACCAAGAACCAAGACTGGAGCCAGGAGATAGTATCATTGTTTTAGGTCAGAAAAGACCATGCTGTTTTTATGCAACAAGGATAAGACTTTCTCATCTGTATGAACATACTGCTGGTTGAAGCATTGTGTGGCTTCTAAAAGCCAATTGCTACTCCTGACAACCGAACCATAATCATCTCCTTTCATCCAGGTCAGATTGTCAAGAATGAAGATATCAAATGTGTGTTAAATGAAGGCATGCCAATTCATCATAGACCACATGAAAAGGATCACCTAATCATCAAATTTAAGGTAAACTTTCCTGAGAATGGCTTTCTCTCCCCTGATAAACTCTTTGCTGAAAGAACTCCTACCTGAAAGGAGGTAGAAGAGACTGATGAAATGGACCAGGTAGAACTGGTAGACTTTGATCAAAGTCACTGAAGAAGCATATGAGGAGGATATCATCCTAGAAGTGTTCAGTGTCAGATTTCTTAACAGGGCCAGTGGTTAACACTCACTGCTGGAATTTTACTTGCAGTAGTGAATGAGTGAAGGACTGTAATATACTCACTACTTGCTACTGTTTTTAATATTCAACTATAGTAGTGTTTTTAAAGTTAAATGAAGAATAAACTCAAATACAAAAAAATAGTCCATTTCTACAGTAGTAATAGGGTATACATGGCAGAGGGCAGAGCCTGATGTAAGATCTGCAAAGATGTAGTTAGACCCTCCGGTTTCTCCCATGAAGGGCAGGAAGGAGTGAAGCCCTAAAATGTGGGATGTAGACACAGAGAATACCCATTTGCCCCTTTTCCTTTCTTTAGTTGTGACCCTTCTGAGTAAAAAACATCCCTCTCCTTAAAAGTATTCCAATGACTCACAAAGTGAGAGCAATTTCCCCCAGAACTCATCTTTACCAGCATTTATTTTTTATTGCCTCTAGGCCTAAAATGGGACTTGTTAAGATCTCAACATTGCTGGGGAATAGAGTGTTTAGTCAGTGGGGATGGAAAATAAGTCATGTTTGGGCTGATTTACCTGAGATTAATGAAACTCCCTGGGATACAGAATTTAATGAGAACTTACAAATGGCATTAAGAGTTGATTAAATGCTTAGACTCCCAAGTGGCCCCTTTCAATGATGTTGAAGCACCAGAGCCTCCCCGTGGAAGAGTGCACAGGCCGGGAAAGGCGGTGTTGGGATGGGTGAGTAGTGCAGTCTTCTCATCCTGCCCAGGAAGACACTGAGAAATGCACAGGTAAGAGAGGCCCCAGCGCCACCAGAGTTCTGTGGTGGGTTTCTTCCTTAGGACCAGAAGTGACAGAGGGTACTCCTCTGGTGCCACTGAAACCACTACACAAAATCAAATATGTCTGACAACTATTATAACACAAGGAGTGATAGAGCAGTAAACTGTGTTTAAAGTTAGTTTATAGGATGTATCAGGATCAAACTATTTCTAAAAAGGAAATTCTTATGCTTCCTCCTTTCTCACATCAAAGAAACCATCGATTTTAGCTCATTCTCAAAGAAAATAAACTTGCATTTGTAACTCACAGTGATCCTTCATGAAGTGTTGTAAAGTCTGACAAAAATTCCTACCATATTTCATATACACATTATGGTCAAATTATTTTTCACAAGTTTCATCTAAGACTCTCTTAAAATAATGCTCACATCAGTTCATGTGCAAAATAAAATTTTCTAAAAATAGCTCCCAATTTAAAAAGTCTAAGTTTCTATAACAGATGAAATGTCTGTTTTATCCTGTATAGGCTTAATACGTGATGAACACAACTATATATTTTATTGAAAAGTTTCATGGCACAGGTAAGAAAATGGAATTACTGAATGTGGGGGTAAAAACAGGCTGCCAAAGCCCAGATCTGACTGTCCAGGACTCTCTCTGTCCCTGGCCCCACATAGACTCTTCAAACATTGAAGGGACTCAACACTAAAATCTCCATTCACAATTCATCACTCATGCTAATAATTTAACTATGAAATAGTCTTGCTAAAATTTTGAACTTGACTTTGAAAGCTTCTAGATTTAACTATTGGTTCAGGAAATACAGAGGACAAAAGATCATGTTAAATGACATCATGAAAATGTAGGCAACAAAAATGAGTTTGCGGATACTTCAAACAAAAGCCCATTTTTCAAGAACTAAATTAAGAGAAAAATGTGAGAAATGTATAGGTTACTAGATACTTAACAAACATACAAATTTTAGTATATGTAATTTTGATCGTGGTTCTAACACTCTACAACTCATGAGATAATGGGAGAATTACTATTAATTTTTCAGGTGTGCTAACTGAATTGTGGTTGTACATATGTGGCATTAAAGAGTCTTCACATTTTACAGATACATATTACAGTATCTTCAGAAGAAATAATATGTATATTTGTTCTAACATAAACCAATTTGGGAAGGCATATATCAAACAAGATTGCCATTTTTTAATAATTATTGAGTTTGGTGATAGATACTAGTACATGGGGATTCATTTACTATTCTACTTTTGTATGTTTGCAAATTTCCATAAGTAAACAAAAAAATGTTGTGGAGTGGCATTTGAATGTATGTCATTTCCTATACAAAATTCTTCA